GAAACGTCGGATAAGTTATAATTCTAGTGTTCATATGTCAGTCGGGTGGTATATGTATCTTAATAATAATATCCTAGTGCTACTAATCACCTCAACAAAGATCCTTTTTTGTGGTTAACTTTGACGATATTTTTTCTGTCACCATTCATTATACAAAGGAATATCCTTCCATTTTATTCTTTCCTCCAGTTCAGAAAAGAGAAAAAAAATGCTTTTTTTCCCCCCTGTGTATATTGTACTTATTTCCCGATGGGGGGAGGGGCCAAGATGGCGCTAGGGTAGGAGCTGCTGTGAAGAGCTCCCTCATAGTTTACCCTACTCCCCAGGGGTATCAGTACAATTGTAATGATAAATAAGGATGCGGAAACACAAAGCAGAAATGAAAAGGACCTTGAGAAGAAAGATCAAAATGAGGCACTTACAAGACATTCATCTAAGAAAACACCACAAGCAAGGCAAGGCGGAGATGTATACCAGACAGCCAAAGATAAGTGATTTATTTCAGCCCAAGGGTGCTAAACGTAAGTCCTATTTTCTTTCACCTACGACCCCTGTATCCCCTGACAATAATCTCTACTCTTTGTTAGATTGGGATGTGGAAGAGTGCTCTGATTCCGAAAATGAGGCTGTAAAAAGTGACAGAAGGGAGGATATTGTCCATACCAGAACAAACTTTAAAGGAGACTTCGATTTGGCTGCTAAGAATTGCCTCCTAACAGCACAAACAGTAATTGCAATATTTGACCACCTCCTAGATGCAAAAAAAAAAAATAGATGAATTAAAAAGTTTAATGCAAAACCTTATCTCTAAGACGGTTAAGGAATTGGACAACAACATGAACACCTTAAAGTTCATCCCCGACACGCAGTCTAAGCAGCTGCAGATGGAGCAGAAAAGCTCTGGTGAAGATGAGGTAATGAATAGATTGGTTCTGCAGAGGCATAAAATCTTGCTGCAGGTTACTGACACACCTCTGAACAGAGATAGGTGGCACAATAGAGGAGCAATATTAAAGTCGCTTGCCCAATTAACTCACTGCAGAGTATATTCAAATGAGCTCATGGAAATTTCTTGGCTGCCTAGTAGATATAGAGTAAAAAGAATACTAACTTTTGTGCAACCCACCTTACCAGCAATGCTCTTCAAGCTTAAGCAGCAGCTATGGCAATATCGTATTGTAGGGAGTGTTAACAGCCTGTTGCTTCTTTTGCTGACCTAGTGACTGTGTGGCTAAGGGTCAGTCTAGATGCTATTAAGGAAACTAGGAATGTTTTTGCAAGTAGGGAACTCGTGAAAGTTACAAGATGCTAAGCATATAAAAGTTATGCTGATTGTAAAGGGACATTTTAAAAGTGTGCAGAGTTGCAAAAAGAAATGGGAAGATGTGGTTAAACTAAAGGCCAAATGTCTTGCTTGCTCATATCAGAGGTCCTGAAAAGGGAAAACCTCTGCAGTTTTTCCCTTTCCTCCTCTCAGCTCCTAGATACATTTCCTGAGCATGCATGAACTTTTGCACCTGCTCTTGCCTCTAACCACACAATGCCACCACATCCTCTGCACGATTTGAGCAAGCTAGATAGCAATGCCTTATATGAGGAACCCCTGGAACAAGTGAGG